CAGCTTCATATGGGAAAACAGGCTGAGGAGCAGCAGAAGTACGGAGAGCGGGTAGGGTCATCCACTGATCTACTGTCAGGGTGCTGTGGCTTTGTTCAGCGCAGTCAGTACTGTTGTTCCCTCCATTGTTGCTGGCAGGAGTTAACTGTCCCCCCATGTTTATTTTTTTTAAAGAATTGATACAAATTCAAGAAATTCCTGCAATATACTTGCGAGACAAACTGGAGGAAAGCTCTCTCATTTTAATGCAATTTTCCTTATAAAATAATTTTAGAAATGGAACTAAAAATACATCCTCAGTGGTTTTTCTGTCTTTTCAGAAAAACTGAATCCTTTCAGATCTCTTCCACACATATAGTTTATCAAACTACTTTGTTACTGGCAACATTAACTTATGGTTTTACCTCATGACCCTTATGGAAATATATTTACAGCTGCCTGTACAAGCCTAGCTGCTACTAAAATAAATACCATGCAAACCTATGAACTGGGCTTTCTGGAGATCTGAACAAATTCCTGAAATCATCTTTACTATAAATCAATATTACATATGATGATCATCAATAATATAGATCATCACTTTTCATCATTTTGGGCTCTACTAATCACAGAAGGAGACCTAGGATTCGGCAGCTGTGCCACAACTAAGTCAGAGCTGCTTTGAGCCACCTGCTAGCATCAACATGTGAACATTCTCATGGTTACCATCTTACTAATCTTAGTTCGTCTTATTAGCATGCTAACATTTGCTAAGTAGTGTAGCTGTCAATGTGCAGGTATTTTGTCGCATTCAAACACTAGTGTGGCTTAAAGCGCCATCCTGGAGAGACTGAGTTCTGATTTATTCTAAAATCATGACTAATGTCTCTGCTGCCAGGTAAATGCCTTTTAATTTCACCCCTGTGCCCCACTCACTCCTTGCAGTTATTTTCAGCGATTATGTAAACAGGTATTTCTGTTTCTAACAGCTGGCGTACCTGCAGAGCTCCTTGGATAAACTCAATGAAGCCATCAAACTGGCCAAGGTGGGCTAGCACTTACCTCCCAGCAATGCATTGTTCACTGGAGTGTCTTTTATTTATATTTGTGTGTTTGTTCTCATTGTTTTATAACTTCTTCTATCCTTTGTCTTGGTACAACCAGGGTCAACCTGACAGTGTGCAAGATGCCTTGAGATTCTCCATGGATGTCATCGGTGGAAAGTGAGGAATAAATCTTGTGTCAGCTTTCTCATTTTCATGTAGTTTAACAGGTGTGGATCAAATCTGGCAGAAATATATGTGAAAAAATATTTTTCTAACTTTTACCTACAGGTTCAGCTCAGCCAAAAAGGATAATGACTTCATCTATCATGAGACGGTTCCTTCTCTGGAGACTCTGCCCTCAGTCAAAGGTAACAACAGTTCCATGTTTATATGCAAAGCAGCATATGGATGTATCTGTTAAATGTTTGAGAGAAAGAAATAACCCACTGTGTTTCAGGTTGTGTGTGTGACTCAGCAGGTCCTTGGACCCTTTACATGTGTTTAGTGACTGAAGTGATCGTTACGGTTTTGTGCCTCTCACTGTAGCCACATGTGTGTTTAAAGCACATTACTGCCAGTGAAATGTTACATTAGTGAGTCACTGACTTTTGCTGCAGGTTTTAATGTGTTGCAGTAACTGACTTTGAATTTGTCAACACTAGTTAAATAATGTGATGTTTTGAAATCAGATGGCAGAATTAGATTCTCTGTCTTAGAACCAGGTGGCTGAGCTATTTTGTGATTAGGGCTACAACTAATCATTTTTGTTATTGGATTGTTTTCTTGATTAATCGAGTGTGGATTTCTTCAATATAATATCTGAAAATAGTGAAACATGCTCTTTGCAGTCTCTCAAAGCCCAGAATGATTACTGGGCTTCCTTACCTCAGAAATACTGTCAGTGAGGAAAACGGACTAAAACTAGTTGTAACTGTAAGGACAAACTTCAGTGGCTGTAGCTGATTGTGATCTCTTCTCTTCTCTGTTTCATTATGTTTATACAGTCAAACTCATTTGTTCATGTGCCAGTAAAACTCACGACTCTGTACCCTTCTAGGGGCCCCGCTGGTGAAAGCTCTGCCAGTCAACCCTACTGACCCCAGTGTCACTGGACCGGACCTGTTTGCTAAACTGGTGCCTATGGCTGCCCATGAGGCCTCATCTCTCTACAGGTAGCCTCGGTCACAAGAGGCTGTTCAATCAACCGTTAATGTGTGAAGAAAGCTGTTCAGCGTCTAAGACTGTGGGTATGTTCTTCTGTTTCTAGTGAGGAGAAGGCCAAGCTGCTGAGAGATGTCATTGCCAAAATCGAGAACAAGAATGAAACATTAGAGTGAGTGTGTGGTGCTTTAACAAAATTACTTGGTGCTTTGGACAAACTAGGTGATGATGTTAATTAAGCAGTATTAATTGAAATGAGTTTTCTCATGAACATCTTTGTACATTGAAACTTAAAATTGAGACCAATAATTAAGAGTGTGGCTCTGATAGGAATGGACTTTTCTTTCAGCAGACCCTGTTTTATTCTGAGCTTGCTGGTCTCGTCTCCTCCTGCAGGCAGTTCATGGACTCTCTGGGCTTGGAACCAGAGTCTGTAGACAACCTGGACATGTACAGTCACATCCCTCCTGTGCTGATGGAGAAGTGTGCTGCTCTCAGCGTCCGACCCGACACTGTCAAGAGCCTCATCCAGTCCATGCAGGGTAGGACCTACATCCAGCTGTTTGTGGCCCAAATTACCCGATGTACAAATTCAGTATTCATATTAAGTCTTGGTTTTATTTGAACAGTTTTTTGAGCCTTGCTGTTTGCTTCTATCACATCCTTGTTTGTGCAGTGCTCTCGGGCGTCTTCACTGACGTGGAGTCTTCCCTGAAGGAGATCAGAGACGTCCTAGAGGCAGACGAGGCCGGAGAACGAGCCCTCAAAGAGGTTGGCAGCCCTGCTGCAGGTGAGGTACACCCAGCAGCACAGGGCCAGGCTCTGGCTGAGATCCGCAGGGACTTGGAGAAATACATGGAAGCCCATGAGAAGGCCAGTTTCACCAACACAGAGCTCCACCGGGCCATGAACCTGCACATCAGCAACCTGCGTCTGCTGGGGGGGCCACTGGAACGTCTGAGAGAGGCCCTGCCCCGGCCCGAACTCAGTGAAGGTCAGTTTGTAATCACTTATTTCCCATTACATATTTTTATTAAATTGACATTACTTTGTAGAAACCAGTTTTCACTTTGACATTAAAGAGGCCTTTTTGTAATTGTTTTGTCAAAAAAAGCCAAATGATATTGACCATGATTGATTTATAAAATCAATTAAAGGGTTAAACATCCAAGAGGGTGAATACTTTTTATAGGCACTGTAAGTTCACTTGGTTTAGGTAGTAGTTTTCAACTACGGGGTTACAGGTGACTTCATTGTTAGAGAAATATACTATATATTTGAAATATAACAATAATGTAAATCACTGAGAGCCAAAAATTGTTCAAGGATCAGATCTGGTCTTACTGTGTAAGTATGCGTGTTTATCTCAATGCAGAGGAAGTAGCAGGGCTGCAGTGTATGAAGCGGATCCTGGGGAAGGTGCAGGAGATGAGGGAACAGAGAAACTCTTTGGAGAAACAGCTCCGTGACCTCATCCAGCAAGATGACATCACTGCCACCCTCGTCACCACAGAAAGGGCCGACATGAAGGTGTGTGGCTGTACATGCTCAGTCCATACAAAACATGGAGATTGTAAACTGAAAAAATTTGAGAGAAATGAAAACAAAGACACTTGAAATGCACCAGCTTGTGGGTTTTGTGTTATCTTGTAGATGAAAGATTTACGGGATCCTAGTTTGTGTTTGCACATGTCACCGCTTTTGCTATAGTGTTTTTAATACATTCATTATAAGATCTCTAACCTGTGCCTTGCCAGCATATATTTGAGGAGCAGCTGAAGAAGTATGAGCAGGTGAAGGTGTACATTGACCAGAATCTGGCAGCTCAGGAGAACATCCTGAAGGCCCTGACAGAGGCTAACGTCCAGTATGCCTCAGTTCGTAAGAGTCTGAGCCAGACTGAGCAACAGTGGAACAGCACCGTCCAGGGACTGGTGGGCTCGTATGAAGCCTACGAGGACCTGATGAAGAAGTCACAGGAGGGGAAGGAGTTCTACGATGACCTGGAGGCCAAAGCGTCACGTCTGCTGGAGAGAGCGAAGGCCCTGAGTCAGACCAGGGCAGAGGAGAGAAAGCCCATCCTGGAAAAGTAAGGGGGACACAGGAGTGGAACTTTGCTTTGCTTTTTTTTTTTTTTTTTTTTTCATGTAATTTGGTATTTCAGTTACATATGGTTACTGTGACAGTGAGTCTCTGAACTCAGGCTTGTATAATTGGACTCTTCGTTCACATTTTCTCAGTCTTTTACTAACCTCTTTCTATGTTTGACCTCTGAATGTCACTTTCGGCTTTTTCCCATTAGGGGTCGCCACAGTGACTCGTCTCACTGACGATTTGCATGTTGACATTTGGCACGTGTTTTGCGCCGGATGCCCTTCCTGACACAACCCTGACATGAACCCGCCTCTGCGCCCTAATCACTAGTCTATCGGGGAACATTTTCTACGTTTGACCTCTAAATAAATAAAAAATGTGGCTTTGTGGAAGTTTCTTTTTTTTTTTTTCTGACTTCCTTCTGCTGATGGTGAAACTTAAATCCTTCGCTGTTTGTCTCCTCCTTAGAGAGAGCCACAAGAAGCCCCCAGCACGCCCCACAGCAGCTAAACCCTCCTTAAAGCCACAGGATGTCGACTCTGCCTGCTCTAGCCTGGAGGACCCGGAGTTGGCCCAACTCAGTGCAGCCATCTTGGCCTTGGGGGGTGACCTGCCGGAGGACCTCTGCAGTCTCCCCCCTGACATTCCTTCCCTACCTACTACAGCTACTCGTCTGCCTGGCCCTGAAGCCTTCGTCCCCCCTGGAGCGAACCTGGGCGGCAGAAGCTCTTTGCCTTGGCCTGGTGCGCCATCTGCTGCTCTTTCTGGCTTCCCTGCCAACCTGCCACCTCCAGAGCTCCTGGCACGTATAGCTCACTTTCCTACTTCAGGGGCTTTCGCAGCACAGGGACCCCTACCACGCGTGCCCCTCCATCAGATGCCTCCACAAATGCCAACCCAGCCAGTGGTGTCAGGTTATCGGCTACCCCCTCCTCAAGCACCCCAACCCGGTCCTGTTGCCCCTACACCGGTCCGGCCCTCGACCACCACTGTGAACAGCATCCAGGCCCCCATCCCCAGCTATGCACCCACACCACACCACCCTGTCCCACCTGCATCCTCAACTGGCTACACTGTAACCCCACAGATGGGGACCTACACCCATTTTATGCCCCAGCAGGGGATGGCAATTCAAGGCCCAGGCCAAAGTTCTGCATCCCAGCAACAGAAGCACTCGCAGCCGTACCCCCAGCCCATTGGGCAAATGCTGCCTCAGGGGTACCAGCCTGGACAAAGGGCTATCCCTGGCCCTCACCCTCCTCTCCAGACCCAGCAGGCCTGTCCACATGGATATATGCCTCAGCCTGGTGTTCCTCCCCAGTATCAGCAGGCATTTCCAGGTGCACTGCAGCCACATCAACAAAATGGCTTTCAGCCCCAGCATCGGACACCCCAAGGCTATCACACTCCCCAGGGGTATGTACCCCAGCAGCATCCTCAGATGATGCCAGGCTCCATGCCAAGGCCACCTCAGGCCCAGATGCCACCTCAAACTGCACATCCACAGACACCCCCAACATCTCAGCCAGTACCCCCTGTGTCTCAACCCTACCTGCCCCATCCCAACCAGCAGATGCCCCCTGGACTCCCTCACCAGCACATGTTGCCACAGCAGCAACAAATCACTCTGCCCCCTGCTCAGCAGATTCCACCCCACCCACAGATGCAGTTACCAGGTGGTCCCAGAGCACAGATGCCCCCTGCAAGTCAGCCAGTGCCCCCAGTCTCACAGAACTACATGCCCCCCATTAGTCAGCCCGTTCACCCAACTTTCCGCCCACAGGTGCCTCCTGCCTCACAACCTCATATGGTTCCTGGTCCCCAGGTCCATCTGCCAAGGGGCCCTGTGCTCCAAATGCCCCCCAGTGCACTACCTCCACAGCATCACCCTCACCCTGGACAACCACCTATACCAAACATTGTCCAGCAGCCCATGCAGATACCCACCCAACCCCAGGCTCAGCCCCCCCATTCTGGGGCAGTATGCTACCCTGGAGGAGCTCCGATGATGCCTCAGCAGCCCCTGGCACCACAGCCCACAGCTCCCCAACAACCTCAGACCTCTCTTCCCATGACCCATCCTCAGCCTTCAACTATGTACCCTTCAGCTCCAGGACCTACAGTACCTCCAAGTGCCCCACAGCAACCCACTGCCATAGGGCCACATGGTGCTCATGTTCCCCCTCCTCAGCACATGATCCAGCCCTCTCCTGGAGGTCCTTCAGCAGCTCAGCCACCAAATGCTGTCCCTCTGTGCCCTTCCCTTTCCCCCTCCCCATCTCCCTCTCCAGGTCCTACATCTCTGGGTGTGAACCCCCAGCAGAGACCCACACCAGCCCCCACCCCTGGAGGCACAGCCCCACCCACTCTTCCCTCTCCTTCTGTCTCTCCCTCCACATCGCTGTTTCAATGCCAGAGCTCAAGCACAGATGACCTCCTGTCCTCGAGCCCAGAGAGCCAACCTGGAGGGACCAAGGCACCCACCAATGTCCTGCAACCCACCAAAGCTGACCCGCAGGATGGGGAGCGTCGAAAAAAGAGCTACCAGGGAGTTCTCCTGATCCAGGGAGACCCATACCAAGCTCCGGAGCGTGTCGCCCGACTTTATGTTGAACTGGAACATTACCGAGCCCAAGTAGATTCCCTGGAGCACCCGTCAGACACTGAGGGTGGTCTGTCGGTGCTGGATGCCTGCTGGAAGAAGCTCCAGGACCAGCAGGAGAAGGATGCCCGCCAGCTCTCCATTGCCATTGCTCGCTGCTACACCATGAAGAATCGTCACCAGGATGTCATGCCCTATGACCTCACCCGTGTAGTGCTCCAGTCAGGCAAAGATGACTACATCAATGCCAGTTATGTGGAAGATTTGTCGCCATACTGCCCACGCCTTATTGCTACACAGGCCCCGCTCACCGGGACAGTGGCGGACTTCTGGTTGATGGTGTATGAGCAGAAGGTGTCGCTGATAGTGATGCTGGTTTCAGAGCAGGAGCTGGAAAAGGTACCAGCTTAATATAATTTGCACAGTAAACATGAAAGCGAATAAAACAAGACGTGATGTGTGGCTGCAGGAAACTCTGTGTTCACTTTTAGACTTAGGAACCTTATACAGAAGCAAATCATATTTCCAGTTACTGCAACTATATAATCAGCTAGTTTTAAAGCAGTTTTGTTTCTGCACACATATCACAGACACCCACTGTAGGTGGCATTTTCTCCTCCTCTCCTGTTGTTACCATCTGTTTTTAATGCTCTCATCTCCCTCAGGGAAAGGTTCTGCGCTATTTCCCAACGGAGCGTGGCCAACAGCTCTCTCAGGGACCAATCACACTCAGCCTAACCACACAGAAGACCACATCGACACATGTGGAGCGCATGATCAGCCTGCAGTACCGTGACCAAAGCCTGAAGCGCACAGTTGTCCATCTCCAGTTCACCTCCTGGCCAGAGCTGTAAGGCATTTCTCTTCTCTCAGATTGTAAACTAGGGAAACTACTGTCCATGTGTAGAGGTTGTGGGGATGTCAGGGTGTTCAGCCTAATTCCTCCATACTTCCATCAGGGGTCTCCCTGACAGTAAGAGCAACCTGCTGCGATTCATCCAGGAGGTTCATGGCCACTACCTCCACCAGAGGCCCTTACACACACCTGTCGTGGTGCACTGCAGGTGAGTGTGCATTGGGTTGTTGAAACCTGAATAAACAGGTCTGTATTCAGGATAGGAGAGTAACTACAAGCCTGCAGCCAAATCATGCTGAATCTCAGACTAGAGTTGGTTAGTTTATTCTCCAAGGCTCCTGTGGGAGGCCTGACCAGGCACCATGTACAGTCAGAAAGGAGGAAGGAGGGTTTCATGCTCAAATCCCTGACCTGGCCACATGACAGAACAGGAACATTTCGCTAAGTTGCAGACAAATCTTGCATACGCATACATGAATTCCTTATATGGGATTTGCTTTTATTTAGTGAAGCATTTCAAAACAGAGAAAAAAAATTATTTAATTTGGGAGTAGAGTGCCATGGTGATGACATGTTTTTGTAGGCCAACCAGGAAGTTAGCATTGACCTGGTTCCCTTGACAAACACCCAATCAGATTCTTCCATAGGTTTTTGGATTATTGCAGAAAATACAATCTGTGGCAAGCAAATGTTTATGACACACATTTTTTTCAGCAAGATAATCTTCACCAGTGAACACTGCTGTTATGATGTTTGAACAATCGCCAGAAGTAAAAAGCTACTGTTAGGTTATAAACGACCTACAC